CCGCGGTTCAATCCCCAGCACCACATGCCAGCCAGCCCCGCCCCCTGGTGGGCTGAGCTGGCCACACACACACACATAAACAAATAAATATTTAAAAAAAAATAAAGGCCCTCAATAGAAACACATGACAAAAAATGTTTTAAAAAGAAAAAAATAAATAAATAAAACAGTGTAACATTAAAATTTTCACAATTCTTAAATTGTGTCCTGTTCTAAAACTGTCAACCTACTACATAATTTCTTCAAGTCAAGAAATTGAAGAAGTTGAAATAGAAATTTAAAAATACTTTATCTAGTGACATAAATTCTACCCACAGCAAAGCAAACAGTTAAGATGTATATGATTTAAGTCAATAATTCATTTAAGGAACTCACTGATGTGTGGTATTTTATTAACTACACCTCTCACCAAAGCACTTTCTGCACACCAATGCCTAAGCAGGTCTATTAATTTTAGCAATACCTGGTTGGCTAAGGCTAAAAACTTCTTGTCTTCGAGAAGAAGAATACTGAGCAAGCAGCATCAGGTCCTGCAAGGCTAAAAACTAAAAGGGGGGAAAAAAAGATACACACACACACATATATTATTTAAATTTTTAAAAATCTCTAAATAAAAACTAATTTATAAATCAGGCTTTTCATTACATAACCAAAGGAAAATCACAAGGACTTTTTCATGAAAGATGTATTTCAAAACCATAACCTTCCTTCCTAGACTTCCAGAATTTTCCTGTCGCTTCCCTCCCAACCCACTGCAGGCTCCAGCTACACACAAGGAACCACAGAACTCTCTGTGTTCTTTCCTACCCCTGCAGTGGGAAATCTAAACATCACTTCCTCCTGGAACTTTGCCTAGTTGCCCTCATGCAAACACATTCACAGCTCTCAACTGTGGTACTTAACATAAGATATTGCGAAGCCTATTTACTGGTTTTGATCTAGCTCCACCCAATGGTGAGACCCAGAAAAAAAAAAGACCATATCCAAATCTACTGTTTAACACTCAGGAGACACATGTATGTTCCTGCTTCACTGAAAACCTTCCTTTTTTTTCCCCTAGCAATCTCTTTTCTCATCCTTCTAAATACCACCCCTCTGGAAAGCTTTCTTGTATTTTTCCCATTTGCTGCAGTTAAGTTTTAATTATGTGTGCGTCTGATCATGCCACCCACCCAATTAGTAGTGACAGACACCTTCCCACTATATAAACATTTGGTAGTTACGAAATGAGAAACTGATATTTTTAAGTTTATCTAATAAGTTGGTCACAACATATTTGAAAGCAATTACAGCCTCTGTTGTTCGCTTTCGTATTTGTTTATAACTTCTTTAGAGTCTACTCAAAACTCTGGGTTCTAACCATGTTCATTTCATTCTTTTTATAGTACAAAGATCTTTTAACAGGATGACATGCTGTAGCTCTACTTTAAAATTTCAAGTTAATTTTTTTTTTTTTTTGGCGGAACCGGGGATTGAACTTAGGCCCTTGTGCTTGCCAAGGAATCGCTTATTCCACTGGGCCATCTCCCCGGCCCCTCAAGTTAATTTTTAATCAAAACAATTTATTCTCACTTAAGCTTGAATTGTAAACTTACTGTAAATTCTTTAAACATTTGATTATGCATTGTTTTAGGATCATTATCAGTAATTCATATTTCAAGAGGGTTCACTAAATATCTACATACTTCTAAACAGTACTTTTGATCATAAAAGCCAAAAAATAACATGAATAGGAGTATGTCTTCATCCAATGATTAAAAAAATCAACAGTATTTTATTTTGGAACCCTGAACAGCATATTTGTAGTTAGATAGCACTGTATTTTACAGTTGGAGGCACTTTTTAACTTTTCTGAACATAGACTTAGCTTGCTTAGCTGAGCATGGGGTTGAATACCTATAATCCCAACTACTTAGTAGGTTAAGAGTTCAAGACCAGATTGGGCAACACAGTGAGACCCCATTTTATTTTCTGGTACTGGGAATCAAACTTAGGACCTCATGCTTGCCAGGCAGGTGCTGCACCACTGAGCTAAATGCACAGCCACATTCCGAAAGTATTCACTAGTAGTCACTCAGAAGAAAAACTGAAAAATACCATTTGCAGGGTGAGTTTTACAATACCAGTACTAGAAGACTACAGGTCCTCAAAAAAAAAAAGAAAATTTGTATTCCTAAATATTAAGTCCGTTCTGTAAAGCTGGAGGTGACTATGTAATAACAAAAGGCAAAGCTCTGGTACCTTTATGATGAGGGGAGGATTACTGTTTAAAACTTTTGGGAGACATTCATCTGACTCTTCCACAAATGGTAGTTGCACAGGAAACACATGTGCCTATCATGTACAATCAAATAAACATAATTATTTTCAAGACTGATATTAAATAACCAAGAACAGAAATTACAAAAGGAGATACATACAAATTAATTATTTTCAGTAGCCCTTGCAAAACCATGTTAAAGTTATATAACTCAAACACACTACAGTAATAAGGTGACTGTCCTAATTTTATTTCAATAAACCAAATTTCTTTTTTTT